GTTTCCCAAGGACGAAGCCTTCTGATGGCCGCACAAGTCACTCTCCTGGGACAAAGAGCAGGATACAGCCTGTGGAGTGTGGCTCTCCTTCCTGTACAATTGAAAAGTTTCCATCTCCAACATAGCAAGTGCACAAAGTGCCATCATCACAGAGTCATGTCATTTTGGTCATACCCCCTTTGCCACTTACCAATTTATTACCCCTCAGCTCCAGATTCGCCCTTCAATACATGTACTGCCCCAGTGGACAGAGTCCTTACACACCTCTCTGTACAGTGAGCACCATGCTGAGCGCGCTCCGAAGAAGGCCTCAGGGGCTACTGCAGAGGGAGAGGGCTCTCTGCTCTTTGCAGCTGCTGCATGGGGTCCGCAGTGTGCGTGGGAGGACTTCGCTCGGGCTCTGCCCCAACCACGCACCCAGAGTATGTGGTCCCTCTGCAAGCTCTCAGCTCCAGCCTGAACTAGGTTTAAAAACGGAACCCATTTCTGGGGCATCTGGGTGGCTCAGTCAGTAGCATCCAACTCTCGATTTCAGCTTGGGTCATGATCTCAACGTTTGTGAGTTCGAGTCCTGCGTCAGGCTCTGCACTGACGGTGAGGAGCCTGCTTGGGATTTTTTCTCTCTCCTCTCTCTGTCTGTCTCTCTCTCCGTCAAAATAAATAAACTAAAAGAAATAAGATCCATTTCCCAGGGTTATTGTGAGTACTAATTTTTAAAGTCCATATGTAATCATTATATTGGCATGCTATTCTCACAGGATGAATCCAAAACAACTTTGATTTTATTCCCCACCTGGTGGAGCCTGGGGCTTGGGGCCTGGGCAGCCCTTCTATCCCTGAGTGAAACCGGGACTGGCAAAATGACACAAAACTTGGGGGGACTTCAAGTCCTACAATATGTAGTCTCGGGTCAATTATGCAAAGTATTAATACACCAGTCAATACTTCCATCTTTATTCAAAGATTAGACATGTGGGAAGAAACCCTTGTCTTTTATCTCTCTTAGTCCCCCTGTTTGCTCACTGTGGCTTCTGGCCCCTCCTGAGTTAAGTGCTTGGATGGAGAAGAGAAAAAGAGGCATAGAAAGTTATTATTTGATGGGTACAAAGGTGTGGCTTCATGCCATGTGGACTGACAGGTACTTGAGGCTAACCCTTTCTCTTACTGGCACTGTTAGGATTCTTCAGAGGGGCTCCTCCCCAAAGATGTGTTCCACTTCTCCAGCTGTCCCACCAAAGTCTCAGTTTTCTGGAAGTCCATCCAGTATCAACCTTCTTTGTCCTCAGCATGGTACCCCTCTTACTCATGACCCTAAATTGGTCTAGACCAGATAGATCTTTTACCCACCACATGGTTGACACTAGGCCAAGGGAATATTCATGTATCCTTTGTCCAAACTACTGCAGGACTGAAGGTCTAGCTGAATGCAACAGCAACTCTCCTCACCTGACCTCCAAAGCCACTTGCCAGCAAACTCACAGCCTCTCTGTTTCCTGGGGGAGTCAGACACCAGCCCACCACGTCCATCCTGATTGCACTAAGCTCATACTGAGCATTCTGTAGGTCCTTCTGGTGCAGCTTGCCACAAAATACAGAACGAGACAGGTTTCATACACTTCCTCAGCTTTTCGAGGGAAAGAACCATTTCTGACTTCAATTCTTCCTAAGAGACATTCCCCTGTGATTCATAACTTTTCATCTTTATTTTTCTTTCCATGACCCCTGCTCAAACATCCCTTTGGTGACCACAAACATGGTCATAAATTACCTACCCATGTGTTGCCTTCTTGGAGTTTTACTGGATTGTTCTATACAGCTGGGGGATAACATGTACAGTCACTGCAGTGGGAATTAAGTCATCAGATAAAGTTTAACACATGTAAGTCCTACCATTAGCATTGTTCTTTGGTAATCTTGCTATGCACATCCAAGCTAAATGATCTTGAGATTTGAGGTCTCCAGTGGCCCATCTAATTATCTACAAAATCAAGTAACAAATAACATTTTTATTCCATATTTCCTTATGTTAAATAACTGTGAGGACCTGGGGGGAGGGGGAGAAGAGAATGCATAAATGATTTTTAAATTTTATTTTTGCCCACATCTGCTAATAGTACTTAGTTTCATGGTTCTGGATATAAGCCTAATAATTGGGATTAATCAGTCTGGTAATCAAGAGTTTTAAAATATCAAATTGCATAGAAAAAGAGTTTTGTTTCAGTTTCCTTAGAATTTAGACCATCCTGTAAAAGGCCTAGGATGTCTTCAAGGTAAATAAATAGTGCTCACAACAAGCTGAGATGGAGGAACTATAAAGAGAAGTACAAATGTGTCTGAACAATACTGTTTGTAAGGTAAGACTGGTTGGGTGGGCCAGTATAATTAAAATAGTCAAGGAGACAGGGAATTAATCCAAAAGAAGTCATGAGAATCCCTAAAAGAAGCAGTTCCCCAAACTGGTTGTGTCAGAACCATCTAGAATAATAAGTTCCCCAAGTGAACCAGACACAAACCTGTCTATACCTGAAATGGCCTCTAATCTACCCAGTATCCCTTCTTTGCTTCTTCTTAGTAACAGAATCCTGATTTTATTGGTGGTAGTGTATCCGGCTAAAAACAACTTTTCCCAGCTCCTCCTGCAAGCTAATGCTGCCAATGACTAATTCTGACCAGTGAATGTAAGTAGAAATTGTTGTATGTTCTTTCTGAGAAAGCTCCTTTACGGGAAGGAAGAGCAGGATGTGAATTTTTTGTTTTTCTACTCATTCTTGCTCCTGCTATGTGGACTTTAGAATTTAAGACTGGATTTCTCTAGCAAATATCTTAGAGCAAGAAGTCATCTTGAAGTCAGAACCCACCAATGACAGATTGGATTCCCAACGACCAAGGAACTACCATGTCAGCCCTGCACAGCTTCTTTGGCATTCTTCTGTAGAAAGGAAAGTAAACAGGACATGTATAAGGTGCCTATTATTATTTACAGTACTGGCATTTTTGTGGCCTTACCAGATCCCGGCAGATGATTTTCATTTTCACTCAACTCTATCTCAACAATGCCACCTGGTTGCCAGCGATAGCAGCGTGGCATTTGGAAACATTAAAATAGAGGGGCAAATGCCCATCTTAAGAATTCATGAACAGGTGCTCAGGGTTTTTGGTTCATCCTGCTGCCATAGCTCACTTGAAACTTTACTAGTAAAGTCACAGATTAGGAGATACATAGAAGTGGGGAGCCTCCCGTATAGGAACTGAAATGGCCATGAGAGAATGCCTTGTGCGTGGTCAGCACAGAGAGGCAGCTAAGGGAAATGCAACTCAGCACAGTGGAGGTGGGGGGTGTGGAAAGAGGAGGGAGGCAAAGAGTCAGTGAGAAAGCAGCTGTGGCAACATCAGTGTTAGGGAACTGATTCTTGCAGGGTCAAGAACTTTTTGTCCTGTAATGACCCTTAAATAAACAAGAGTCTGGAAATCATGGTAGCCCACTTATTGATAAAGACCAAAGAGAGGCCCAAAGGAAGTCGATGCCAACCAGAGCATGGAAAGCAGACAGGCGGGTCTTTCCCTGGCCAGTAATTAGGTCTGTTGATACATCTACGCTAATTATATGGTAAACCCGTAGTGCTGTTTTGGTTCTTGTCAATGAATTCATTTTTTAAAAAATTTGAGCTCCAGTTAAAATCCTTTTAGCCATGGTGGAGTTTACTAAGCAACTCCAGATCATTATAAAATGCCATTTGGGGACTGTTACATAACTGGACTCTGGTGTTGGCTATGCCAAACAGCTGCCATAGAAATGAGCATGGCAGGGTTAGACTCACAAACTGAAGAAAAACGAATTATCTTGACTTGGGGTGAAGCAGTGTTGCATCATAATTACATACTGAAGGGGAAAAAAATAATATTCTCCTAAAAGGAATAATCTTCTCAAAAAAAGTAATTCTGGGAGCTTTAGGTGAATTATTATTGATATAAGCTCTTTTCTACCAGGTAAAATAACAGTCTTTAGAGACTACGTAAAGTAAATTGAAACCGCTTGTATTTCTTCTTTGCTAGAAGAAGAACTAGTCTTCTTTGCTAGAACTGCATGCCTGTGCCCTTTGCCACATGACTGCAGCACCTCCAGCTATGGAGGCCCAGCCTAGACGATCCCCACCCCTGTCTGAAGCTGAGCCACCCAGCAGACATGGGAGCATGAGAATAACCTGTTGTGAGCCTCGGGTTCTGCGGGTGGGTTATTGCTCCACATCAGCATGGTAATGGGTTCTACCACATCCCCCAGATATGTATGTTGAAATCCTAACCCCTAAAGAGGAGTGGGCTCTGAGAGGTGCTTAGGTCCTCAGGGTGGAGCCCTCATGAATGAGATTAGTACTCTAAACAAAAGTATCTAGAGAGCTCCTTTACCCTTCCACTACGTGAGGACACAGCAAGAAGGTGCCATCTATGAACCAGACACCAAATCTGCGGGTGCCTTGACCTTGGACTTCCAGGCGCCAGGACTGTGAAAGTACATTTCTGTCGTTTATAAGCCCCTTGGTCTGTGGTAGCCTGGGCAGACTAAGACAGGCTCTGATTCAGTACTCAAAAAATTCCAGCCATTGTGGGCATTTTTAGAAGTTCTGTTATGCAGAAATCAAAGTACATAACCCAAAATACAATGCAATGAAATAATCTTTGGTTTGCCAGAGTAGCATTATTCAAGTTTAAAAATTATAGAGTATTCAACGAGTACAATGAATGCTTCAGTATAAGAGATGTTAACTGATTTTTTTGAATTGTTATCTAGGATTGAAATTTACTCATGGGCTTTCTATATATCCTACCTTCTACCTACAACCACAACCTCAAGTAAGTAACGATTTTCTTTTTGCTTTTTGGGCCCTTCCTGCCTTATTGCCTCTGTTCTCCTCATAGTTGAGTAACAAGGCCAAAAGATCAACACACAGAGAGTGTAATATTAAACACCCAGATAGCCCACATACACAATGATCTACACCAAATGAGAGTTTGTTAAACTGTCTGGTTTAATATCATGTTGTAAATAGCTTCTTAACCCAAACCGTCTGTGCTTTAAAAAGGTAACGATTATTTCTTTAGACTGAATATGAACAGATTAAATGATAAAAATAGATGCTATGTTTACTGATTAATCTTTACAGTATTTATTTGCTGCATATCTTTGCAATAAACACATCACCAGTTTCCTATTTCTCTCTCTCCCCCACAATACCAGGTACAGGGAAGTCACTCAAAAAATATATATATTAAAATGAATAACAAATGACACAATGCATGGCTTCAAAGGTGTTTACTATTTGGTCAAACAAACTTTTTTTAATTGTCAGTTAAAAACAGAAATCTACATTAACATATATGTTAAATATTCATCTACTCTGCATTATTGCTAGCTGATACCGTCGTATGGTTTGTGGGAAAATGTTAATTCCTGAGATCATTGTTGGCTTTTATCAATCACTTTCCTCACTGTCAGTCATCTTTCCTGAAGTGACTTGGGAGTGTGAATTGGGGTTAGGATGTTCAATTGCAGACCAACTTTCTCCATCTGCTAAATGAGCAAACAACCCCTCTCACCTACAAGAGGTACAAAAATAACCACGGTATGTGGGACTTTTTCTCATGGTATGCCATAGAGGAAAAATGTGGACTGAACACAAAAGAAAAATGTTATGATTGCTTCCAATCGCCCAGAAGGAATGTGTGTTTTCTAGTTCATCAGTCCTTGACGTACAGCAGCCCAGCCATTGTTTTGCATTTATTTAAAATACCCTCTGCTAAACAATTATGTTGAATTTTAAAAGTAAATTGCTTAAACTTACATTCAATTTCTTTCTATAAACCAACATAGTCTTTTTCTTCACAATGCAAATACATGATGCGCTGTAGCTGAGTGATTCCCAGACCTACGCTTTCTGTCCTGGGTTGTGGTGCAATTACAATGAGCCCTTTAAAAAAAGCAATTCTGCATTTGTGTGGGAGCAGGGAAAGCTTCCACATAGAGATGAGATGTCAGATAAAGTCTGAACTTAGTGGGGCTAACAAAACTTTACCAATTGCATAACTAATATTATTTTAGGATAATTTTTAAAACGAGCCTACCCGTCCCTAGCTGAGATATGAAACAGAACAAAAGCTATGAGCAACCTTTCTTTCCTGGGTTCATTAAGGCCTTGGAATCATTTAGATCTGTGTTGCATGCATGTCGATTCTCTTCCACATTTTAATGTACTTGCCCGTGAAAGCACTAGAACAAATTAACTGAAAGAAAACCACTCTGAAACCGCTTGAGCTTTTGAGCCTGCCCCGGAGGTTTAAAGGCTTATACAACCTAGCTTGCAGTTCTCTCTGGGTCTTCATATCTAAATGATTGTCAAATGCATGAAACATGAAGAAGTGGGTATTGACCAAAGATCTCGTATACCTGCCTTTTCAGACTGGAACTGAAATCCCTTTGAAGCATCCTGAACAACAAACAATGGCCTATTTCACAGATCTGAAAACAATAATCAGCTTTCCTGACCTACAGTTGAAAACAAAATTATCTTTTAACTAAATAGGATCAGCTTTAAAAATCCCTTTGGAGATGTTTTTATTTATTAAATGCCTTCGTTGACAACAGCATCTTTTATTTCCTATTACTCCAATTCAATTTCTCCTGCATACAAAGTAATGAGAAGAATGGCTGTAAATCCAGTTAACATTCCAGCATTCTGAATCATGAAGTAAGTAAAATCGGTTTTTCTTCCAGTTACCTTTTCTCTCAGCATATCGTTCATCTCTGGAAACTAAAAGAAAGATGCATTGTTAGATAACTGTCGCCATCTGGTGGTAAAACATAAAACAGTCGCCTAGAGATTTTGGAGGGGGGAAGGCTGGGCAGTGATGATTTAATTCAGATATTTAAATGTCTTATTTAGCATAGCATATAGAAATAGCATAGCATAGGTAGCATAAAAGGAATATCTAGTCTTATCAGGCATCAACATGAATAGAAGTATGGAAGTAGTGCTCCCCAAGTGAGTTAATTGGTGGGATAGGATTTACCTCATTTTATGCCTCTGTTCTCTCTGTCTGTCCGCCTGACTCTCTCTTCCCCCTTACTGTCTGCGCTCCATTCACACCTTTCTTTCAAATGCATCCACCCTTTTTCTATCCTCAAAATCTTCACACCCACCCAAACCACTATCTGACCTCTTCCCTCTCTAATTTTTCAATGAGCTACATCCTTCAGGCTCCAGCTTTAAATCATACTTTCTAGTGAGGTTTCCCTCAGCACCTCCTAACTTACACTAGATTCCCCTAACTTCATCTCTCACCGTATATACTGCTTTTCCCCTTAGTTCACAGATTTTTTTAAATTGGTAATTATTTAGTCATGTGTGTGATTTTCTTCACTGACTTTCTGGTTTCTTCTCTTTAAAGACAGAATGCCCCACAGAGGCAGGAGTGTGCCTCTCTTTGCTCACTCCAATGTCCACAGCACCTTGCAAATTCCAGGCCAGGCACAGAAATATCAATCAATAGTAGCTGATTAAGTAAATTTTTAGAAATCGCTATGCATTTAATTCCTGCTCTCTTTAATTTGGGTCCTTCTGCTTGCCCTACCCCTCACAAAATCATAAGGCTTTCAAATAAATTATGTACTCTTCTAGGATTGAAGGCTGTATCAATCTCGTTACAGTGAATGCAATTAAAATTCCAATTTCTGTTCTTTAAATCTACCCTTTCTCAGCAGATAAACTCTACTGGAAAGGCTCCAAAAGATCTGTAAATGCCAACTTTTCAAAAAGTATTCCAAAATGACTTGCTACACACACACACACACACACACACACACACACACACACGCATACACACATACACACACACACCATGGTGCATTGTACCACTGTACAATGTACCAAAGCATCCAAGAGGCCTCCAGAATCCAATCCATCCATGTGCCTGATTTAAGAAAGTTGTTACCAGGATAAACTGAGTGAAAGCTGTGAAACCATGCTGAGAAAAGCAAATCGTTGTAGGACATATAGCATCACATATGAGTATCCTTTCCCTGAATGGAACGATTCTGATAGATTCTGTTCTCCTAACAGAGACCAGAGAAGTGATGGCCTACCGCAAATACAGTATGAGACATGAACTGTGTGAAGAACAATATAAATGCAGTGATGATTCTGCGGGATGACATTCCGGCTCTGATAAGGGCCTGCACAGAACAGTGAACAGAGCTGGATGGTTGTCATGCAGAGCTAAGAATGCAGATGAAAGAAACTAAATTAATTAAATGATGTGTGTAATACATATTCAGTTCCAAACACAAAGGAAATGCTCCTCGATTTGCATATATGTAGCATAGTTTCATTTTCTAGAAAGCTGTCCATGATTCATTTGAAAATGCACAGGGCACAGGACCATTGATATTCTCTCTCTTACACACACACACACACACACACACACACACACACATAAATAAAGACACAGACACAGCATGGACAATCACAGATATAAATATATACTGCCCAATGTAAGTGTTGCCTAATTTCAATTTACCAGTTTTAGTTTAATCCAAAAGGCACCCGCTGTTTAGAACTTCGAAATAATAAAATGCTATTTACTGTAACAAATCATTCCCTTCCAAATGTGACATCCTGGGGCCCCTGGGTGGCTCAGTGGGTTAATTGTCTGACTTCCACTCAGGTCATAATCTCATGGTTCATGGGCTTGAGCCCCGCCTCAGGCTCTGTGCTGATAGCTCAGAGCCTGGAGCCTGCTTCCAATTCTGTGTCTCCCTCTCTCTCAGTGCCCCTCCCCAGCTTGCACTCTGTCTTTCTCTCTCTCAAAAATAAATAAAACACATTTTAAACAAAGAATATGTGACATTCTCACAAAAGAGGGGGAGAAGTTCCCATGGGGACACACTATATACTATATACTATTATAGAGTACAAGGGAAAAAACCTGGGAAAATATCTCTACTTCAGCAAAAGTAAATCATTTCATCTTTTATCAGTAAAATCATAGATCAAAGGATCAATGAGAATCCCCTTCAAGTTCTTATGAATACAAGAAGAGTTATCTGTTAGCCAGGAATGCTTTAAAGGATGACAGAATTTCCACACTGTGGAAAGCAGAAGGTTGCCCTTAGCTCACAATCCAGGTGTTTATTTCTAAACGTTAAATTAAGATGAGATAAAATTTTAAAATTTCTTACCATATCTGCCAGAGAAATATAGAGGAACATGCCTCCAGCTAGGGCAAATATAACATTTGGAGCAAAACTGTTGCCCACCAAAATACCAAAAGCCAGCCCAACATAGCAGGAACATGCAGAAAGGAAATTGAATAACAAGGCTTGCCGAGTGCTCATTCCTGCACTGAGTAGGATCACAAAGTCCCCTGGAAAAAGAAGAAAATACCAAATAAATAGTTTTTGCTATTTTTGGATGAGAGACAATAAGCATCAATGTCCAACAAGGGCTCCTTCATTTAGATGCATCAGTGGGGTTTTTAAGTGTGTCACCTAAAATGTCTCCCTTCAGGGGTTCCTGGGTGACTCAGTCAGTAAAGCGTCCAACTTCGGCTCAGGTCATGACCTCACGGTCTATGAGTTCAAGCCCCACGTCAGGCTCTGTGCTGACAGTGCGAGCCTGGAGCTTGCTTCTGATTCTGTGTCTCCCCCTCTCTCTGCCCCTCCCCTGTTTGTGCTCTGTCTCTTTATCTCTCTGTCTCTGTCTCTCTCTCAAAAATAAATAAATGTTAAAAAAATAAAATAAAATGTCTCATTCCACTGAATGAGAAGTAACTGACTTTTACGGTATGATCAGAGCCCCTTACCTAACTCATGAGGAAATTCTTCACACAGAATTGCTATAGAAGTACTGAGTCCCTGAAGAAGAGACAAGGTGCAGGAAGCCCCAATCGCCAGGCCATCGATGAAATTGTGGAGGGCGTCACTGAGGGTTACCATCCAGGCAATTGTCCCTATTTTTGATAGTTTCGGTCCCTTCAAACAGGTACATGAACTCGACTCTGTTTTTCCATCCTGTAAAATAACAGAAGTGCAACCACCAAAATAAGCCTCATTTCTTGAAAGTCTGAGAGTTACCCAGAAAGGAGTAGGGGATGTGTTATGTATTGAGAAAGACAAATGGTTCCAACAGAAAGACTTTCATGGTGGCTAAGAACTCCTAATCATTTATAACAACAATGAAAACTTACAAGAGGGAGAAAGGAAATGAATGGACATTACGGGCGTTGAATGAACCACATAAGAGATGTTTTACTTTGGTTTCCCCTTAAAAAATCCTTTTGTTTTGTATGAACAATTCTTACTATTGCCTTCCTAATATGCGACAGACCTTAACCTAAGAATCTGATTCATTTGCATAGTTTAAAATAAAGGAAGTTTTTCAAAGACCAAATGTAAAGTCTTTTTCCATGCTACAGTGTAAATGTGAAATCCGCATTTCAAGCACAAAGACACCAAAGAACGTTTACGGTAATCCCTCCTATGGTATCTGAGCAGGTTATCTGCGCCTCAGTTTCTTCAATTGTTAAATGAAGACAACACACTAGGTGATTCATTTATTTTTCAATGACTTATTGGGTTTCCACTGTATTCCAGGTAGTGTCTGTTGAGTGATTAAACTGTAACAATGCGTTCCCTATCAGCTCTAAATTTCAATGATTCTCTTAACATCTCATGACATGTGATTGGAACAGGCTCCTTTGCACTAACACCTCTTTCCATTTTGAAACAATAATAAAAACAGAAAAGCCTACAGCAAACCCTTTGAAAGAATTTAGATTTCCATAAAATTTGCAAAGTTGTATGAAACCAAATGCCAAACGCCAACTCAAGCATTTTCCAGAAACGGTAGAAAAAGATAATAAAATGCAAATTTACTTTTAAGTAGGGATGCAATTTGCAATTAACTGGAGAATATTTTATTCCTAATTCTCCTCCCCTCAACTTTACCTCAACAGCTAATCAACATATTTATTGAGCCGTGTGCTGGGTGCTATGGGAAGTGCGCAGAAGTGGAAAATGCAACTTCTATATTCAAGATGTGTATTCATTCATATTGGAGAAACGAGATGCAAAGTATATGACTGACTTTTTAAAAAACGTTCATCAAACACCCGGCCAAGAAGGGCTGCCTTCTGAGCCATCATGGGGGAGGAGGGGAGGTTTTAGATTTGTCCTAATGCCGCTTCATTGCTGAAAACACTTTGGGGACCGCTCTGTCATAATTGACTTTAGATCTTGCAATTTACATCTTTTCAACGTGTCATTAGTGGCAAATTTTCATCTTTGGGGAATGTTTTTGTAGACACAGCCAAATGTCATTTGGAGCCACCGTGTTCTTAAATGGAAGAACATGGAAGGGGTGGGGAGTGGGGGTGTTACTTTTGTACTAGCAGCAGGAGCGGTGACAGTGGTAAGAACACACACAGCAAAGGCATATAGTATTTATCATGGGCCAGGCCCTGCTTTAAGCACTTGAGATATTTAATTCCTTCGGAGGAGTTCTGTGAATTAGGACTATTATCATCATTTTAGAGCTGAAGAAACTACAATACAGAAATGCTGGCGAATTTATGCAAGGATGCAAAGGAAATAAAGTGGACTACTTTAGTAACTGTTTTACTGCTCCAAATTTATGGGAGGGTAGGGAGGGGACCACTTCTTGTCTGAAATAGGTTCTGAAGGCAATTCACTAGGAGAATACCCCCTTCTCTCAAAAAAATCTTTTTTATTATTTTTTTAAAGTTTATTTATTTTTGAAACAGAGGGAGACAGAGTGAGAGCAGGGGAGGGGCAGAGAGAGAGGGAGACACAGAATCCGAAGCAGGCTCCAGGCTCTGAGATGTCAGCACAGGGTATCAAACCCATGGACTGGGAGATCATGACCTGAGCCGAAGTTAGATGCTCAACCAACCGAGCCACCCAAGCCAACCTCTCAAAAAATACTTTTAAACCCTTGAAGCAATGTTGGGATAAGTATTCAATCTCCCTTTGTTTTACAGGTAAATCTCAGCAGCATAAAAAGAATTCCACCTGCTCTTCAAATGTGGTCTTTTTACTTTACAGTGTTAAAAGATAAACTGAGGTAAATTAAAAACTTAAAGAATTTATTTGAGCGAAAATTGATCCAAATTGGGCAGTGTCAAACCGAACGTGGTTAGGAGTGCTCCACTGATGGGAGCTCAGGGAGGACTGACAGAGACAAAGCAAAAGCAATGCAAGAAAAGTGTTGACTGACTATCACTTAAAGCCCCATTGGCTTTTTGTGACCAATTGTCTTTAGGTTTTGATTTCATAACTTTAAGACACTTACAGGCTTAGATTTTGGTTTGATTACATAGGCTGCTAAGGCACTAGAGCGACCTTAGTCCAATGGCCTCCTTATTTAATTAATTTAACAGTTGATACATCTTAAATTGGACAACCAACTAATATAGGTAAGTTGGATAAGAAATGCCTGAGAACAGAAAGCAACAATTGACAAAGAAAAAACAGAAGTGGTCATGAGAAAAGCCATAGAGGAAGAGACCTTGGCTTTGCAAAAAGTTATTGCCGGGAGACACTTATTAAGACCACTTGTCTTCATCTTCCAGCTTGGTTTACCTAATCAAATATTTATAATTTCTTTATTTACTTGTGAGGATTTAGGGAAAAGAATAAAAGACCAAATTTTGACTACCTGATATTATGCACAGAGTCTGTACACAAACTCCTCTAATTCTGAAAAAGAAATTAAATTAATATATCAGGCATGATTCTCTTACCTCTAAGTACAGATATTATCGACTGTGTTTATTATGCTTCCTTTTAGCTCTATAAACTTAGGTTTCAAATGACACTGTTGGGTAGGCTAACAGCCATACATTTTTAATAATTTTGGAACAAACATAAGTAGGCAAACATTCACAAGGAGCTTATTTTTAATTCACCTAGTACTAAGTCACTGAGCAGAAGAAACACTAAATTCAAGTCCCCCTGATTAAGTTAGTGAGTGCTCTTCTCTCCCTTTTATTTTTGTTTACTGTTGTCATTGTTTGCTTGCTTGCTTCCTTGTGTGACTTATACAGTAAATCTGAGGCTATTTCTAACCTCAGCCATGATGAGGCAACTCAATCTAGAGGAAAGACCTTAGGTCTAGAGCCCAGGAGAACCAAGTCCTTGCTTTGCTCTGACAAGAATTACTGTGTAATCATCAGCAAGGTTCTTAACATCTCTCATCTTAGTTATTAATGGAAATAAAATCAAAGGAAAGCACAGACTAATCAGACCTGAAGGAGAAAGAATATCATGGGCCAAAGTTATAAAAGCAGAGGAGAGACTATAATCCCAACTTAAGTATATTGGGGAAGAAACAAAAAGGGAAAAAAAAGTACTAAAAAATCAAAATGAAGAAACCAAGTAGACTTATTGCAGAACCCTTTAAATTTAAGCAAAGAAGAAGATCAAAAGAGAAGGAAGATCAAAAAAAGGAGGAGGGTGTAAGGGGGAGAAAAAGAGGAAGAAAGACGTGTGACATGAGGAGGGAAGAAGAGGAAGAGAAACAGAAGGAAGAGGAAGATATGAATGATGGAGGAAAAGAATAAAAAGAGGGAAGTGGAGAAGAACAAGAAAGTAAGGAGAAGAAAAATGAGGAAAGAAAAAAGGACTTAGTTATCCTTTAGTAGGATATAAATCATATAAAAACATCTTATGTCTGCAACGAAATATTATGCAGAGTGGTTGGGATGATGAATGTCTATTTCCACACGTAAAAATGTCCAAAACACAATGTTGAGGTAAAAAAATATATATATATGATATATACATATATATATAAGCAAGGCCAGTCTTTTGTTAAAATAAATATTATTATAATTCTCTGATAGCCTAAGTGCAAACATATTTGGAAGAATATTTACAAAATTGATAATCATGGTTGTCCTTGGGAGATAGGACCGCTGTGGATAATCTGTGAGGGTTCTTTTTCTTTTTATCTCTTATGGGTGTCCAGGATTTTATTTGCACTTATTATATATCATTTTAATACTCGGAAAACAAATCATTCAAGCCACAAGATGAGAACTATCAGGAGGGAAAAATGAACTTGTCACAATTTAGGAATTATCATCAGCAAACAAGGTAAAGCTGGAAAAACAGGCTGCCTGCCAGATTTCACCTACATTGAAAAAAGCATGTGCTATCCCACTAAAATAAAACTTTTTTTGTTGGATTAATGGCTGCAAAGTCTAGCATGAGCACAGTCAGACCTCATTGTGCATTGGGTGAAGCAAGATGAACCATGATGAATAAAAACATTCTTATAGTTTATGGTCTACATGTTTCATTGATAAGAAGGTAAAAGTGAACAACGACTGCAGGTAAAAGTTAAATTCCAAATTCTAAATCCCATGCTGAAAGAATTTTGGAAGAGCTCTGATAAAAATACAACCAAACCAAGAGGAAAGGAGCAACCTACCAAAAAGCAGAATGAAGATGGCAAAAGGAAGTATAAATGACAACAAACAACAGATGAAAATTATATGCAAAGAAATATATAAACTCAATGCACATGAAACAGAAGTTAATGTAATATAAATAAAAATGATAAAATATCATCTTAAGAAGCTGTAAATAAGGGGGAGGAGTGAGATTTAAGGAAAGGAGCACTGCAAGCTAGTTTCAGGATTAAAGAATCAGTGTCTTGGCATCAAATGGGCATGGCTACTTCATAGCTTTGTGTCCTGTAGAAAGTTACTTGGGTCTTAGTTAATCCAATAAGACAAGAAAAGGAAATAAAAGGCATACACATATTGGAAAGAAAGAAATAAAACTGTCTTGTTGGCAAATGACATGATTGTTCACATAGAAAATCCAAAAGAATCAACAAAAAAGGTCCAAGAACTAATAAGCAATTACAGCAAGGTGATACAACAAGGCTAATGTACAAAAGATAATTACTTCTTCTATACCAGCGATGAATAAGTGGAGTTTGAATTTAAAATCACAATACTATTTACTGGCACCACCCCCAAAAT